AATATTTGTGTAGATTGGATTTGTAAAAGTTCTTGCATAAATGTTGCCAGTTTTCGTTCTTTTCTTTTTTTTTTCTTTTTTTTTTATAGCAACACTCAGTACGATTGTAATCAGCCTAAATAGAGCCATGTTTCGAAGTAGAAAATATCTGTAAAATCTGTAACAGATGTGAATTTCAATGTCATATAATATATCATGCTTCTCTTGCATAACAGCCGATCCCCTTCGTTGTCTATTTTACTATGTTAATAAAAGAATGATACTCTTTGGATAAGCAACACTTCTAAACAAGTTATGAACACTTGCGGCGCTGTAATGCTGTTTTATCGCCACTTATCATATTCTTTGCTTTACTGAATAATAAATTTTTGCTGCGTGAATTATCGTCCCCTAAAGTGCTAAAGATAATGTATTAATGTATTTTAATGCACCACAGTGTACCATTACCTAGTTTTATTGTTTTTAGTAACAGATGATTCATTATTTTCGGTAACATTATTTCCAAAAATACTGTACTGCTTTGGTTATTCCAAAATAAGAAATTTACCGAATATAGATTCTTTAGTTTAACTTTGTCCTTTTTATCCTGTATAGATAGCAGCAAACATATTATAGCATCATAACATCATAATGCACTGCATATTTGGGATAGATAACAACAATTATATCTCGTGATACATCATTTAAAATCAAATAATTATATAGTCAAGGGACATTCGAGCTTTGTTATAACTTTCCCAGGTGCACAGCGTATGAAATATTATGTAGAAAAGCTACGAATGAAAATGAATATGTTCTCATTTATATATATTTTTTTCTATTTATCGCAATGACTACGATTGAAATGTTATGGTTCCACAACGTAGATTATATCATGTCTTGTGGATCATTTTGAATCGATTAGTTTATGTCATGAAGTTTTTTGTCTTCGCTGAATTATGTTCAAATCATCAAATCATGACATGGGAACCAGGGAATGTTGTTAATGAAAGAGACGGGATTTCCCTTAGTAAAACTGAAAGGAAAAGAAAAAGAAAAAAAGAAGTGAAGGTATTGATATAATACAATCATTAAATGATGTCCAGATCATCAGTGACTGATTATCAAGGAAGCCGGGATATGTTCGTGAAAGAGAGGGGACACCTTTAACGGACGATGACCAGCAGACGAAGAGTGTAAGAAGTTGCAAAGAACCTTGAGGCCTCTCGGGGAAAAACGGCTAATGTGTGGACGTGGGGCCTTTTTAAGGTATTGGAAAACAATAAGTCGCGGTGACGGCAGTGTGCAAAGCAGAGTGTTGTGTAGTGATATATATAAAGATATATATATATTATATATTAGATATATGTGGGTGTGTGTGTGTGTGTGTGTGTTGTGTGGGTGTGTGTGTGTGTGTTGTGTGTAATATATGGTGTGTGTTGTTTGTGTGTGTGTGTGTGGTGTGTGGTAGGTATATTATATATATATATATATATATATATATATATATTAACAACAACAATACTGGTAATAGTAGTAGTATATGTGTTTTTTTATCTTGGTTTCCAGTACTGTTATTCATTTGGCCACTCGAGTCTCTGAAAACCTCACGCCCTTTATTACAGAAGAAACTTCATTACAGACTCCAGACGACGGAGTTTTCATCTTACAGATTGGCAGTTGTAGTTCCTTTTTGCTGAAAAAAAAAACATTTTAATAGTTGAAAAATCTAATGAAATGATTAAATAAACGCGATAAATGATGGGGTCCATGGTGATAAATGGATAAGGATGAATTCACAGCGCCGATGTTTTGTTAAAATGATCTGCATATCTCGCACTGTGAAATTACTCTCTGAGGCCTCTACCGTTTTTGCAGCGACTGAAAAAATAATATACATGTCATAGTCTGTAATAGCGGAAGCAGAAAAAGATTTTCAAAAACATGTATCATAATCAACTCACGAGTCAATGAGACCTGTATTTTTATTAGTATGCTCGTAACAAATTTTCCACACTTCCACATTCATCAAGCAGAGGTCAGTCATCGAAACCTGTCGAACACAAGAAGTCCGTTCTTCAACATACGACTTCCGTTCACAAGTTGGGAAAGTAGGCAAAAACAACAAAGGTTTTTGAAGAGATATAAGTGGTCCTAAGTATCTGTTTTCCATTGGTATAGCCAATCATATAATTCTAAAGGTTACTATTGATGAATTTGGATGGAACTCTGATACAAATGATACTGTGACTCATGGTGTTTATGCGCAAGCTGTTTCACGGTTGTCTGTTGTCTGACTTCACGCGTCACGAGAAAAGCATAAGAATCAACCATGGCTCCTTGTTTGTTCTTGATGCCTGGGTTTTATACTGTGGATGTACTCTGAATGGCTTTGTTTGCAGGAAGTTACATACACAAAAAATATTGGTAACAACAGTAAAAAGATCTGTATTTTCCCCTATAAGAAACTCTTATGCTAACTGTTGTAATTATCAACAACTGCCTCTGCCCGATGGATCTTACATTACTAGACGTAGACCATTTTTCATCACGGTCTCTTGACTATTGATGCATTTATCTGTCTCTAAAACACTGTAGTTCCATATATATTTTAGTAAGTATTAATAGCACAGTAATTATTACAAACTTGTGATATATTTTAGGCAATCTAGATGTCGGTATGCTTTCTTGATAAGTATATAACTAAATTCGCAATACAAAGCATACATGATTTAA